TAACTCGTCGAGTACCGGTTTTATAGACACAATTAAAGAACAATAGGTCGCGGTCACCGGTGACCGCTTGGTGTTTGACAGTTTAATAATGGATCCAAAATCCAAGTGCATTTACATATAAACTCTGATATGTTTTATTTTGCTCATAATAAAATAGAACTGTAAATATTTTGCACACATAAAAGCCGTATAATGTTTAGTACATATAGACTCCAGCTTAAAAAACCATCCTGTACTTCCGAATCTTTAATAGACTTCCTATTTTAAAAGGAGAACGGCAGATTTTGTACCGCTTCGCTAAAAAAAGATTTGTCATTAAAAAATTGGGTCATTATAGAACCTCCTAAGTACGTTATGTTAGCATATTTAATAGATTTTTAAAACTTGGGAAACCCTAGAAAAACTGATATTCAATAATGATAAAAAGCAATCCACTATACGTAAAACGAACCGCGATTGACGTTTACAAAGTTGCCATGCGTAAAGATGAAATCAGAGCATATTGAATTTCGCTATTTCATAAACTCATTTATTTTAATATCTATCAATGAAATATTTTCCTTTCCATTTCAAACATTTTTATAAGTAAATATAAAAATCTACATCCAATCTAAATCTACGTTTACATGGATTATTAATGATAATTAACATTTTAACAAACTTGAATATTATGGCAATGTTGAACTGGCATTTGTCTTGATGACATTGACAATTAATTTGTCAATACTGGCGCATTGCTGTTTGTTTCAAATGCGATGTTATGATGTGTTTGTGAATTTGAAGTTATTTTATTCATCTGGTGATACGTTGAGTTTGGCAACCGTTCCTCCGTAGCCCAAATTGGTATTATTGGAATCATTGTTGTGACAATTGCGAAAAGACACTTATTTACATTGTTTTGTGCAGTGTGTTGTTATTTGTCGCGATGATGAATTTACAGTGTATTGTGCATGGCATGGCATTTGGCATGCTCTAGAAAATGAGAGTGAAGATTAGACGTGGTCAACAATATCCCAATGTGGACTTATCCTAGAGATGTAAGTACCTAGTTTACCCATCACATATCGAAAGTCACCATGTTGCCTGAATAAAAGAAGGCGCATAGTGTTATCTACCCATAATGTATCATTTTATTCTTTTTATTCTAGATCTCTCCTACCGACCATATTTGCAATGCTTGCTGGCAATTAGCAATGTATCAGGATGTTGCTGAAAGTATGTCCAGCAAACAAATTGGTCACTGGCATGTTTGTGTCGTATATGGGTGATTCATTGCAATGATAAGGTGACGCAGGGTTTTAATTGAAGGCGCCAACAAACAGGAGTAAAGACTGGCTCATATAGTATTTGATTGGATTCAGCCACAAGAGGTAATAAAGCATAATTTAACCATACTATTATCTATATACAGTGTAACCTAAAGTCAATATCATATTCTAATAATATTACTTATTTTAGCTTACTTCCCATGATGAAGATCATGTTCCATACTGACTGAGAGACCGTACAAGAGTCGAAACTATAAAACCACAACCTGACATACCACCTCACAGTGTTCACTATCAGGAAGTAATGTATTATGTAAACATGGACTAAGCCTCACTTTAACATTGCCATTTGTAGAACAGATGAGGCCGGATGATGTTGTTCGGCTCTCAAAGCTTCAACAGGTATGCATTCTCAATATAATGTACCTACATAATTATGTATCTATGTGGAGTATATAAGCGGTTTCTAATAGGTTTATACTCATGTTATAATTATAATTTACTAGCGACCCGCCCCGGCTTCGCACGGGTGCAATATGTATATACATACAAACCTTCCTTAAGAATCACTCTATCTATTAAAAAAAACCGCATCAAAATCCGTTGCGTAGTTTTAAAGATCTAAGCATACATACGGACATACAGCGAAAGCGACTTTGTTTTATACTATGTATTGATTAATTAGCATGCTGTTTGAGCTCCTATGATCTGTGTTATACGAATAACTATAATAAATGTTATAAAATGAAGTAATGTAATCAAATATTTATTTTTATCTTTTCCATTTTAAGATAGGGAATCAGACTTATTATTATAACATATAAAACTAAAGGAAAAAAATGTACTTTTGTTTACTTTATTTACAGTTATCTTACTTGTTTACAGATATCAGCAATTGATGTCTGCTGTACCTATGACACTGTTCTCTTTTTAGATGAAGTACTCCTAGAAACAACCTGAATACAATGAAATAAAAGTATTTCAAAATAATACATTTGTTTTATTTTAACCTAGTAAGTAACTATATATTCCATCTTGATAAAAGTGATTTTAAGAATCAATCTATAAAATAAATGCCATATTTAATTTAGATAGCTTTAGTTTTATACCAAAAATGTTCATTTTCATTTTACATTTTCTTTAGTTGTAATGTGGTGGCCCAGAGGTTTAAGAAGCCCGCTTCTCATGCATGAGAGTGCGGGTTCGAAACCTACCAACGGCAAAGTACCTTTTGTCCAATGTGTCTTTTTTCCGAGTTATTGGTATATTCAATAATCTAAGAAAGTACAAAGACACCGCTGACGAATGGTGAAGGAAAACATTGTGAGGAAACATGGGCTTATAATTTCTTATTATAAGTTTGAATTACCAACCCACATTGAGCTAGTATGGTGATTAATGCTCAAACCTCCATGCGAGAAGAGGCTTCGGTCAGCAGTGGCCACTTATAGACTTAATGATGAAAATGTTGATGATTCTACTAATTTGACTTACTTATTAGAAATTAATCCTTACATGCGTGCTAAGCAACCAGTTTTCAGAAGAAATACTTTCTCAAAGAGCTAAGCTAAGTTTAAATCGAATTAACTTGAGACCCTTGAGACTATCTACCTGCAAGATTCAAGGTGAAGTGAGACATTAGTTTTATCATATCCGCCACAAGACTTCCACTGCTAAATGTAGGCCTTCTACCCAATGACAGTCGCTTACATTATGAATTTGCATTTTCGTAGGCACCTAAGAAATGAAAAAGATTGTGAGGCATACTCTTTAAAACTCTATAGGTGCATCATGCTTGCTGAATTAACAGGATCATTCCTAATTGCCTTTTGCGCTGCGACGCACCATAGGTTATTTTTTGGGTTTCTAAATTCTTGTTGTGTGTCGTAGCAAAATAAATGGTTTTTCTTTCTTTCTTTCTTTCTAATAATACAAAGTGTAATAGTCACTTGAGTAGCGAGCAGTATTTTTAGATTTTTGTTTTTTGTAAATAAACAACCACATGAGAGCACATTGACATTTTTCAGTTAACTGTCATCTGTCATTTGTAATAGATATTTTGCTTACGGTGGCTCTACACTTGACGTTGCGTATTTGTTGTGTTCGGCCAAAAAAGAACATGTTTGGAGGATTTATTCTTCTTTGTTTGCTATATATTTGCACGCCATTACATATAGAGATACTATTTGGACGCCATTTGTACGTAGTCTACAAATATTTGGACAAATGAAGCGACTACGCAATGTCAAGTGTGGTACCACCTTAACATACCTTTTGCACATTTTCAAAGTAAAATAACTTTTGAACCCCAAGTTCTAAAAATATGTAATTTTTTTCTAAACTTCATAATAAAAATATCTATCGTTCAGACTATTCACTTGGTTAAAACAATGACTAATACAAAATTTTATAGCGGTACAAAACTTCCATACAAACCTGCCATTCTCCTTTGTCATAAAGTAAAAAATAAATCCCCTAAAGAAATATGACAGTTTAAACCAGCTGACAACTGTACTTATTGTCCATCTTATACTATTATATAAAGCGGAAGTTTGTTTTTTTGTTTGAACGCACTAATCTCCATAACTAAAAGTCTGATTTGAATAATTCTTTTTGTGTTGGATAGCGCATTTATCGAGGATGGCTATAGGCTATAAAACATCACGCTACGACCAATAGGAGCTTAGCAGAGCGTGTGAAACCGCGCGGAAGTAGCTAGTAAAAGAATATAAAGTCAGATAAGATTATTATAATATAAGTTAACAGTCACAATAATGAAGAAAACATGTAACTTGTAGGTCAGACATAGAACATAGATTAGCAAGTGCCGGTGCTAGGTGCAATGCGACATATATTCTCAATTATATGATAAAAGATTTATTTGATTGTGTTAGGAGTATTTACATTAGGAAAATAAGCGGATAATTAGTATCAATAGTTGAAACTAAGTTCTGATAGTACCTAGAACCTTTTGGATGTTGCCTCTGAGAGACCAAGCCGTTTTAAATAAATTAAAAACAATTCTTTAATGCAGGGTTTCCCATACTATGGGTCGCGACCCATTGGTGGGTTACAAGCGAATGTTTAGTGGATCATGTCTATAGAAGGACCCACAAACTACTGTTCTATACCGTACTTTTCATGTTGATAACAATAACAACGGTATAGTTTCCCAAAAGTGAGTCCTGAGTTTGGTAATTTGATTTAGATAGGTCTTAGTCCATATAAGTTTGGAAATCAATGCCGAAAACACAGGGTTTAACCCTTTGAGTACTGTCATTATAGACACATCTTTGTTTATATTAGTAACATTAATTCTTGTTATTAAGTATACTGTGATCATAAACATCCAAAACTCTCAAACCATGTCCCATTAGTACATATAAAAATAGCACAATTTATTAAAATGTTACGCTTATGAGCATTGTTTCAACTGTGATAAGGTTATCCATAGAGAGCAGAGAATAACCTACCCTCGAATCCATTTTTTTTGTAATTTCCAACTTAATTGCTTTACAATAAGGTTGAAAATCTTTGACAAGTAAGTATATGTTGATGCGTTGGTATACTTTTATAAAAAAAATCTTTTATCACACAATTGAAACTAAAGTGCAAATATTTAAATATCAATTATTGACCTCCGGGATAAACACCTGGGTTCTGCCACATTGTCCAGAGCTGCAGATAGAAAAAAAAATATCTATAGTTAAATATATTAAAAAAGATACATACACATTGTGTTGTAATTGGGTTGTTCTTTGGAATTAAGGCTTTCGGTGGCCGTTTTGAAGGTGGTACAGCACTTACGCACTATTGAACTGAAACAAAGAAAAAAGTAATTGTTTTTATTTTATGAATCAGAAGGCAAACAATATGTCTTCAGAAACAAAACTTTCAGCTTTATAATATTATAAAGCTGAAAATTTTGTTTCTTCGAACATGTTAATATCTGGAACGACTGGTTTGAATTGCTAATATGCGAATTATTCTCAGGTGGGCCATGTGCATTTGTTACCATCGTTGTGGTACAAAAAAAAAATATAATTCTTTTCCATTTATCAAGGAACAGCTACAACATCATGCTCTGACCAATAGGAACCGAGCAGCAAGTGGAACTGCATGGAAATAGCTAGTATAGAATATTTGTAATGACTAAAAAACTTGGCAAAGGCAGGATACTTTTTCCTGAATCTTATTTTTATTTTTAATTGAGAGAAAGAAGAGTTTTTGCAGTTTCATTGTGTATATTTCCAAGTGCTTACAAAACAATATTTTGTTTACACTAGTGTAGGAGGACATACTGAGATAGGCACCTAGTAAAAAAGATCTAGCAAGGAGTATTTACTTCAGTGTATAAAGCTATTGATAGCTATTAAATTACTTAATTTAATAGCTACCCAATACTATGAAGTATATTAAAAACAGATTAATATAACAAAACTGGTGACATTTTATTCTGCAGCAATTACAGAGTAAATTATTATTAGTTGGTTTGAATACTAATTTTTTATATTTGATAGTCCGATGTTTGGCTACTATATCGCCTGGTGGTAAGCAATGATGAACCATAAGCAACCTATTCAGTTGGTCCTTGGAAGAAACTCAATAATTGATGTATTTCTATTAAATAAACTACAATAAAGCACTTTGTCATATCACAAAGTCGCATGCAAACTCTAGAGTACCATTTATTAAGGTTAAAATTTTTCCTATTGGAAACTCAGTTGCAATACAAGAAAAAAAAGAAATGGTTTATTTGAATTAAGAATGACAAGTAAAAGTACTATTAGGGAGCCTATTTAAAAAAATAAAATGCGTATCAATAATCATTTGCCTAGCATTCAGGAGTATGTTATGTATGTTTTACAAATAATATTATTAAGAAATATGTGAATCAGTACCTAGCTATGTGAAGAGTTTTGATAAGATCGTACACCTTGAATTTGTACCTTACCTACATCTGGTAAGACCGATTTCAGTTTGATTTCACTGAAATTAGTATAATTTATGGCTTCTTAGAATATTCATTACAAAAGTCAAAAGTAATATTTAATCGATGTATAACATTTGACTTAAGTTTTATTTTTATTTCAGTAACTATAGTAAATATTGAAGTAGTAAACAGTCTTGTTTTGATTAGTTTTTTAAATAAATAATAACAATTTAAATATGGTGCAATAGTCAAAATATTTATGGTGGTTTTGTAATTGCGTGCATCTTGTATTATAATAAGACAGACGGTAAAATTATTAGGAAAATCGTCTATAAACTAAATTACATATCGCGAAGCGTTTTCGAAAATTTTCGGAATACGAAATACACCTTTAGAAAGTACTAGACGTTTTACAAAAACGTCCAATGTCGCTAGAACAAGGATCGATCGTGATATCTTAGTAAATATTATGAAATTGTACCTGGTATTGGAATGGAACTTTCGTTTTCTAAAATAACACAGATCAACACTAGTAAATCAGCACGTAAATATTTTCGATAAAATTCACTTTTACAAAGCTGCAATTTTCACACGACGACGTTACGATTTACTTATTTGATTCACTCAATGAAATTATGAAAACGAACGCTGACTCAGACTGACTGAATGAATGTGAATGAAACTGTATGTATTCTTTAGAGATTGACTGAATGAATGAGAATGATAAACTGCTAATGAAATGAATGAAAAGTGGAATAGTGTAGTGACTACCAAGTAGAGATGAGCATTATCTGAAAATTCGTCCCTTAGAGATGGGCAATTTGGATTAATTCGGATAAATGCTCAAAACGGATAAATTTATTTATTTATTTATTTATATAAAACCTTACCTAAACTATCATTACAGGTTTCTCCATTGCGATAGCTAGGCCTTAAACTAAATCTATGTTACGTCCAAATATAACAAAATCATAAATTAAAAAACAAAAATGAACAAATTCTTGGCTAAACTAAACTCAATAATCGAAAATACAAATAAAAAAGAAATTTTGCAACACAAAGAAAAAATAAACAAAACAATTACTAATTTAAATTTAAAAATTAAAAATCTACATATTATACAACATACTTAACCTCTAGTAGGTATAACAAGTACAAGATTCCTAAAACATAACATTAATCTATTACAAATATTATAATACCTAAATGAGATCATACACGGTCACGAGATCAAAGATGCACTACTTACTACATAAAAATTAACAAACATATAGTAAAAATAAAGTTAAAATAAGTTAATAATAATTGTAGAATTGGGTAGTAGTTGAAATGATACGGCAGTTATAAAGTCAATAATAAAACGTATATAATAATCAGACCACAGGTTTATGAGTGTTATAAAGGAGCGAGGGAGCACACGCGATGACCGCTATTAATGTACTGAATACTCGACTAATATTAATTAATGAAGTAAGGAAAAATGCACGGATAAGCATAAGTGCATTACCAGTGTATGGTTCCACCGTACATGCTCCCGGGCCAAAAAGATAAACAAAATCTATACAATGTCATCATCTAGTTTAAAGCGACACCTTCTAGGTACAGGTGATGTAGAGATATCGCGGTTACAATCGATACTCGCACTGGTTATATTCACTTCACTCGGCTGTCGGTCAACCGTACTCTGCTTTCGCGAAAACACAACACTATTTGCTACACTTTGAGGTAACTCCACGGCAGTAACGGCTTGGCACCGCTTCCATATGAAATACACCGCGACCAGAATGGCAGCACCCAGGAGGCAATAACTAATCGTATACAGATGAATGTCATGCGTCGACAGAGTGTAATCGAGTGAGTTAGTATTGTCAGATTTCAGTTGTTTTATTTGTTTCCCTAGATCAACTAATGTACTATTTACAGGATCGTCGTAGACGGTGTAATGAGATAATGATATATTAACTATATGATTTAATTCGGCTACTTGAGGAGTCACAACGTCAGATTCTAATTTAATGGAATTAGCTAATAGAGCATGAGAATACAAAGTAAAGTCGTTACTTTTTATGATGCATTTCGGACCTAGGTCAATAATACCTACTCCTGTTATTTGTTTAAAGGAAACTTGATCTTGACATATAATCCTCACAGCGTAGGTATTGCAGCAAAAGTACATGAACCTTGCTGGCTCATTTAGCTCGAGCCACCTGTCTTGACAAGGAGATCTAGTTACAATACATTGTTTTAAGTTTTTATCCAGTTTGCAGAATTTCTCATCAATGCTGAGACGATTTATAGGTTTGTTGGCCTTACACAAATATGATAGACCGTTGTGCAGACATAGTTGAAGTTCGTTGAGCGACATTGTAAAGAAAGCATCCTTTTTTAAATTTATAGCCACAAAATCTGCTGCTGGTAGCACACTCATCATGTCATATTGAACTAGTTGAGGGACTGGTATGATTTTGTAGATTTTATAGCTATCTCTACTGGTCAAAGGAAAGGTGATTTCAAATATAAAGTATTCCTGCAATAGTCTCGCTTTCACCTTTAGCATACTGTACATATGTTTAAGATCAGTCTGAAGGTTGTCCACGGGTAACGTAGTGTCTTGGTTAATTGTCCAGAGATAAACTGTAGTTCACGTTGTAGCTGGTCCGGACTTAACAGGTGAGTATTAAATTTCCCATGGTAAATATCCGTGACGATATCTATCAAAGTATCTTGAATCCTTTTAAGGTTTTGCAGTAGATTAATAGTCGTTAATGCTGAGAATGCAAAATTTTGGGCTTCAACTAACCCTTCGAGTTCATGTTTCATAACCAAAGTGGCAGTATCTAATTGATTCAAGTGTTTATTTATATTTTTATGCTGTAATTGGATAGTTTCCTCGGTTCTCTTCAAGACGTTGTATTCGGCTTCAATGATAGTAGTTTGGTTTTTCAATAAGTTGTTAAGATGATTCTCATTTTGCTTTACGAGATGTATATCTTTGCGGTACTGTTCCGCGAATCGTTCGTCTAATACTCCGAACAAGCTGTTGGCGACGTAACCGATACCATCAATGAGCCCGCGACGCTGTCTGGAGCGCGCGTCAAAGTGCTGATTTATCATAAGTTGATTGTAGTGTTTTATTTCGTTGTAGTCGTGTGTTAACTGGAGCGTTATCATGTTGCATGGCGTAGTATCGTTTAACGATGAACAGCATCTTTGTAAATAATCCAAGAACTTTGTGGCGGCTTTATTAGCTTCCCAGTACGGACTCATGTCATAGTAGACTACAAGATTCCATCTATCTCGAATAACTTGCATGTTACCTACTGTCTCAAAATACAGCGAATTGTTGTTCGGTAGAGCTGATATATTGAAGGCGGCATGAGATGATGAGATTAACGACATAAAGAAGATCAACGACATTACTAGGGATACAAAATTAGACTTGATTTTATTACAGCCTTTCCGCTCTTCGGGTTTCCGTAAGTTGCAATTGAGTTCTGGACCATCGTTTTCGTGCCTATTGCTAGAACCATGTGATATTGGCAAGATTGATAGTTTCACTACGGGTCTTTTAATCATTCCATTTTGCGTTTTCAACGTGACTACACGAACTAATCCATCCTGACCTGGGTGAGTTTGTACTACTCTACCCATCATCCATTTTCCAGGTGGTAGATTTTCGTCCTGGATGGTCACTAAATCATTTATATTGATGTTTGGCTCAGTGTTTCGCCATTTGCTTCTTATAGATAACTGCGTTAAGTACTCAAACTTCCATTTTTTCCATAAGTCGTTGACTATTTTATTTGATAGATGCCATCTAGTTCGAGCATCTGTTTCAGTTTCAATTATAGTAGTTCCAGACCTTCCAGTCAAGAAATGCGCTGGGGTAAGGACGTTCAGATCATCAATATCTTCAGATAAAGCACACAAAGGTCTAGAGTTCAGACAAGCTTCTACCTGGGCTAATATGGTGCTGAACTCTTCGAAAGTAAGTTTCTGTTCTCCAATTACTCGTCTAAGGTGATATTTTACGCTTCTGACAGCTCGCTCCCATAGGCCTCCAGCACTTGGCCAAGATGGGGCATTAAAGTGCCACTCTATGTTTAAATCTGTTAATTCTGAGAACAAGTTACGATCGCATATGTTTTCGATATTGAAATAGCTCTCCTGTAGCATTCTATTTGCTCCGACGAAATTCGTCCCATTATCGCTATAAAGATGGCGTGGTGCTCCTCTTCTGGCGGCCATTCGCCGTAAAGCTGCTAAAAATCCAGAACTTGTCAGGTCGGATACAAGCTCTAAGTGTATGGCTTTAGTCGCCAAACAAATAAATAGTGCAATATATCCTTTTGTGGTTTTGATGCCACGTCCCTTATTGCTTTTAACATCTACGAAACCAGTGTAGTCCACACCAGAGTGATAGAATGGTGGGGCCGGGTTACTCCTTGCTAAAGGTAACTGTCCCATCAATTGTTGCTGTAGTTTGGGCTCATGCTTTTTACAGGTCACGCAGTTTCGTAATTCTTTCTTCACCGCTTTATTTCCTGAGATTATCCAATATCGCTGCCTAAGATTAAATAAAGTTAAGCGTGGCCACCATGAAAGGTGAGTTGATGTGCCTGCTGAATAGCTAAGGTAGTAAATCGACTGTTGTAAGGCAATATTGCGGATGTTTTTTATATCCATGTTCATGTCTGCTTTACTCAACCGGCCTCCAACTCTAAGATACCCTCGTGGTCCAGGAAGGGATTTAATTTTAATAACTTGCTTTTGTTATTCAACTTATGCCTTCTTAATGATATTATTTCATCTGCAAACTCGATTCTTTGTACATATTTTAGAATGAGTAACTTTGCTGCACGCAGCTCATGCAAGGTAAGATATTCTGGTAAAGTAGGTTTGTCTAATGCTGTAATAGACTGCTTGACTTGTATCGTTTTCATGGCTCGTAAATCCATGCTACTATCTTAATTATTTTATTAAGAGAGCTGAATTTGTGTAATAATTGTAAAATAATGCTTTCTGCTGCATTGTTATTTTGTACAGTATTGACTTTGCTTACAGTTGATTTGATTTTTAGTTCTTGATTCGTGTTATAAGTAATTGGCTGTGTAACTAATTTTTCATTAAATGTTTTCACGATTGCGGCCCTTCCCACCACAGAGATTTATTTTTCAATTGTGAGGCTGAAATGCCTCTACTTGCTGCATCGGCTGGATTGTCCTCCGACTTCACGTATCGCCAGCAGCTTGACTTCATAGTTGCTGTAATAACTTTAGTCCTGTTGGCTACGAAGGGTTTCCATCGGCTGTGGTCACCTTGCAACCAACTTAGAACCACCATGGAATCTGTCCATCCATACATACGGATTTCCATTTTGCTATAACAGTTACTAACTTTATTCATTAACTTCGCTAGCAAATATGCTCCACATAGTTCCAACCTGGGTAATGATACAGATTTAGATACAGGCACGAGTCTAGTCTTAGCGGCTACTAGGACCACAGAATATTCTTCATTTTCTGTATTCGTGCGTAAATAACCGCCGCGTACGCTTTCGTCGATGCGTCACAATAACCATGCAGTTCGATGACGTTATTAGGTTGATATCTGATCCAACGCGGTACTTTGCATTGATTTAAACATTCCATGTCTGTTTTTTATAGCTAACCATTCATTCTGTATGTTTCCCGGAACTTCTCATCCCAATGCATTTTATTTCCCACAACCTTTGGAAATTAGTTTTAATTTTGTGGTTAGTGGGGATAACCAACCCAGGGATCAAATACTTTTGATATTTCGGACAAAAGTAATCGTTTTGTAATTTTCGCCTTTGAATTAGCCATATTGTATTTAAAAGTGAACATATCATCGCAAGAGTTCCATCGAAGGCCTAATGTTTTTGCCGTACTTTCTGATTTGAAGTTGAATATATTTCACTATTGCTGCAGTTCTGCTTTATATTTTCTAGAAGTTCTGGATGATTTGCGGACCATTTCTCAAAGTAAAACCTCCTGATTTTTAATAATCGGTTGAGATCTTTGATGAGTTGCTTTCCTTTTGTAATCGAGTGAGAACCATGGACCAGATCATCCAGTAAAACGATTCTTCTAGAATCTTAGCTGCTTCTGGATATGTGCTTTGTTCATCCATAGCTAGGCGTTTTAAAGTCATCATCGCTAAAAATGGTGCTGACTTTGTACCATATGTGACGGTAGTTAGCTGTAGGTTTGTAGTGGTTGGCTGGGCTCGAACCTCCAGATTATTTGCTGATATTGCTGATCTGCTTCATCCACCATTATCTGACGGTACATTTTCTCGATATCTGCAGTGTAAGCATAACGATATTGCCGCCACTTCAATATCAGCTCCTGCAGATCCTGTTGTAAATTAGGACCTTTTAACATAAGGTCATTTATGCTATAACCGCTTGACATCCTTGCTGATGCATTAAAAACAACGCGTAGTTTTGTAGTAGCTGATTCTGCACGTTGTACGGAATGATGCGGCAGGTAACACGATAGCGCTTGCTTACAATTGTTGTTGTAACTAGGCACCATGTGTCCTAAGGCTACGTACTCACTAATGAAGTTTTTATATTGTTCTGCTAATAAAGGTTGTTTACTAAATTTACGTTCCAGGTTTTTGAAATTGAGCTATTGCCAACTCTTTAGACGAGCCGATTTTTTCATTAATTTTTGCTTTAGTGGTAATTTAACAATATATCTGCCGTCTTCTCGACGTTTCGTAGTTGATGAATAGAAATCGGCACATTCTTGATCTTCTAAAGATAAATTTGACTTTTCGGTTATATCTTCGATATCCCAGAAGTGTTGGATATCCTGAACATTATTCATGACAACGTGCATTGTAATGATGCTATTTGACCACCCCCGTAAATGATCCAACCAAGCTGTGTTTCTTGCAAAACTGGTTGCGATGCATTTTCTCCTTTGATTAGTCCTCCCATCAATATCAATCCAATGACTTGAGCGCTGAGCAATAAGTCTACTGGACGACTGATGTTGAAATAAGGATCAGCTAATTTGAGACTATCTATGTAAGACCACTTCGGTGTGTCGAATGATTATGTGGAATATCTTTCAGTACGTTTTTCATGATTAATACATCCGTAATGAACGAAAAGTCGTTATGAGTTGAGGAACAGTTTAGTGTGACCATACCTTTACAATTTTGTTCGACCTCACCGACTCCACATACTAGTCCGTTGAACTTAGATTTACGTAATCCTAATTCTTCGCAGTACTTTCTTTATTAAAGACACTTGCGATCCCGGATCAATGAGAGCCCTTAAGATGTGGTACGATCCATTCCCAGAGGCACTTTTACTAAGGCTGTAGCTAGTAACACTATCATGTTCCTAAATTGTTTTGAGGCACGTGCGCAGTCATTGCCACATTGTTTATTGCATTTGGGTCAGTTGATGTAGTTGCTACGTTGTTGCTCGATGAAATTTTTAAGCAAGCGTCATGTAATACAGAATGATGATTAGCATTACATTTACGACATCGCCTAACGGAAGTGCACTGCTGACCCTTATGATCGAATAAACAATTTCGACATAATTTCAATTTTGTTACAGATTTTAGTTTTGCTTCGTCGGGTAATTGCAAAAACTTTTCGCAATTAAACATAGCGTGTTGTTGACCGCAAAATTGACATTTTGTAGTAGAAACATGTAAAACCTTTGAATTGGGTGGAGTTCTTTTGTATTTATTGGCAAAGGTGAAGTTATGTCGTTTTTGCTTTTGGTTTTCAGGAACATCGTTATTCATGTGATTAACTGATTTCGGTGTTACTTGATCTAGCTTTCGACGAGTAGTTTCCAGACACGTAAACTTGCTTTCTAAGTAGTCCAAAAAATCCTGGAGCACTGGTAGTTCCCTGGAATTTTTAAGCGAGTCTATGTAATCTGCATACGTTTCGTTGTCAAGCTTCTGCGCTAATAGATGCACAAGAAGCGGATCCCATGTGCTGATGTCAATACCTAAGTTTTGTATGGCATGTATACTCTCTAAAGCTACGTCATGCAGTTTTTTTATATTACCTAGTAATTGATGCTGTGTGTTCGGTAAACTGAGTAAGGTATTGATTACACATGTAAATATTAGCTTTTTGTTGTTATACCGGTGGTTTAGAATTTCCCAACAGGTATGGTAATTATCTGAGCTTATAGGAAGATGCTGAATAAGCTTTTCTGCTTCGCCCCTGACCTTTCCTTTAAGGAATTGCATTTTTTGCGCTTGGGACAAGGCAGGATTGTTGTGGATAGCCTCTGTAAAGAGGTCTTTGAATGATGTCCAATGTTGATAGTTTCCAGAAAACAAGGTATATCCATTTTTGGGGTAGTGTGTTCTCGGTGCGATACACTCCACAAGTTTTTATTGATCATTTTCTTAAGCTGAAGATATGATCTCTCATGCTGAGTGTAAAGTTCTTCGTAAACTCCATCTTCACCGGACAACTCGCTATCTATCTCCCAATGAAGAGCGTCAATTTGAGACCAACGTGCTTGAAGTGTTTTCAAGGCGTCCTCCATTTCCCATTTTTCTGACATAGAGTCCAGGTCAATCAACCCTGATGATCTCTTGAATGCTTTAAAGTTAGCTGCTTGTTTACGCAACATGTCATCTAATTTGCTGGTGGAACCTTTTGACTCCACTGTACGTAAACATGCTGGTTTTTGCTGTTTGCTCATAACCTGATGGTCCTGCTTTTGCTGATTCTTGTTCCTCTCGTTGCTCCTGTATTAGATGAATACCCCTTACGGATTTCAAGGCGTTAGCTGGCCTGACAGCTGCAGGCGTTGTTCATTTATGAGAGACTTGGCTGCTGTATAAAGTTTGCTAGCATTTTCATGCTCAGAATTTACAAAATATGGGTGATCTTTCACCCCATATTGACATAAAGCTAGATGATTGTTTTGAAAATCTGACCAATACCTCTCTAACAACTCTAATCGCCTTTTAAAATAGTCGTCCGATTTCCATCGGCACTATCCTTTTTTACATTAATCGGTATTTTCCTGATTGCCTCGCTAATTTCAAGTTGCTGGGTGTAAAGATCCTCCATGCTGCTGTTAGTTTAAGATATAAGGAAAGATCTTACTTGCATGAAACTGGCTATCGTTTGCTACCGAGTTGCCGCCGTTCTCCGGCGAAGTTGCTCTGCTGTAGTTGGGCCCCAAACCCTGCTGCTCTAGATACCAGGTTCTACTGCTGCTTAAATACCGATGTGCTGCTGCTGCTCGCTGTTGAGATGCTGATTGCCCTGACCTGGAGGCGCTAATGACCCGGTGCAGGATGCTTTTTGACGGTGCTTATGTTGGTTGACGTAACGCACAACGTCACTTTATGCTGCTACAGTTTTGTAGCAACGCTTAGCTAAAGTTCTGTGGGTATAACAGTATATTCACAGTTCACACGTGTCACTGTAAGTCCACACGCTGATTGCTGTACGAGTTCACTCACAAGTTAGTTAATACACGTCAGTTCAGAAGTAACGAATACTAAAAAAAACTCGCGAGGTCCCGCTTGTTGGCTCGAAGGACCATGTAGAATTGGGTAGTAGTTGAAATGATACGGCAGTTATAAAGTCAATAATAAAACGTATATAATAATCAGACCACAGGTTTATGAGTGTTATAAAGGAGCGAGGGAGCACACGCGATGACCGCTATTAATGTACTGAATACTCGACTAATATTAATTAATGAAGTAAGGAAAAATGCACGGATAAGCATAAGTGCATTACCAGTGTATGGTTCCACCGTACAATAATTTTAATTAACCTATGAGTAGCATAATATGTACAACGTGACTTTTACAAATTCACTCACACCGCAACTCAACACATCTACCCTTTCATGAACTTCGTTCAAGTCATTTATGGCTCTAGTGAGGGGAGCCTTTGCCAACAAGTTGGTTCTGGCCGCAGGCAAATATGTTAAAATAAAAGAAAACCCTAAAATAACTATTTACAGCGAGCACCGAAAAATTCGTAGACATCTATTTAGACGTAAGGCAATGCTTAGACTCCGACCAAGAAACAGACCAGCCCTCTTTTCACGAGATACATCGATCAGGCGTTTTGATAATTATAGTCCCTAAATAAAGTATGGGCACTTGGACACCACAAACCTAACGTTCTGACCCACATTGTCAATGAATTATGTACCTATTAATAGAAAAATTTTCAATGTATCATTCGAATGCTCATATTCTGTACTTTAATTTTAAGTTGTCGTGTTTTCTCTTATCATAATCTTAAGTGAATTGTATACTTTTCATGAGAAATTAGTTTGTAAAAATCATTCATCGAATTCGGATATTTATCCGAAAAAACAAGCAGTAGTCTCAGCTCTCGACACTACTTACAGTGACAATGACGCTGTCACTGTCATTTTCACACAATAACAAAATAACCTACAAAAGTGCAAAACGGATTTGTATTAGACGATTCAACTTTAAAATTGAGTAATTTCATTTAAAACCATGAGTATTTTATTAAAGAATATAATTATATTACCCCAAATGCAATGTAAGATAATATTGTAATAATTTTCGGTGATGGTCTGTCGGTTAAACGTGATTACTTTGTTAAATTTCGACATTTTGTTTCAGTGGTTAGTCGTGGGTTGAGTAGTACTCCTATTTTGCTATCTAAGCATTGGAGAGAAGAACGAGGTTTATCCATTAATAGGAATGCGGAAGGAATTCTAACGGATGCTCCCGACTTCACTTATCTTGATGGAAGACCAACCCCACTATTGGTAAATATTAATTTATGTGTATCAACTGTTAGCACCTTTGATGGAATTCCAGATTTTTCTCTTGCCCATCAGCTCATTAGCATTAAACTTATCATAAATTAGTAAAGAATTGAGAAAAAATGTATGCAAAGTTCCTATTCTTATTACAATGTATTGTTAACCCGTTGAAATTCATCCCCTAAATTTGTTCATACAAAAGTAGTCTTTAAGCATTCGAAATAAGGTCTATAATATAGGTAGTGGAGAGCGGTCACTGGTGACCGCTTGGCATTCTATGGGAATAACAATGTATAATAAGATTTTTTATATCAATTCAATAAATATTAAAGTGTAAATATTTTAGTTTTTATTTATTTATATTTATAATATTAATTTTAGTTTAAATTTAGTCTAACAATATATATTATACCTTCATAATGTAAATATTTTAATTTTATTATATTCTCTCTCTGAAAAAATGTAAAGCAGTAATTTTAAAATATATCAAAACCTAATACTTGGTATGATCTATTTTCAGATAAAACAAAAGAAAAGAATGTTGAGACAAAGAGAGTTTGCTTCCAAAATTGTTGAAATGTGTTCCGAACTTGATTTTGCTAAAGAGAGATACAACTATATAGAAGCATCGAAGGAGCAAGAGAGACAGAATGTCATTGCAAACAGATTGAAGACCAAAGGAAATGCACTAAAGAAGAAGAAATAGATTTAATTTAATATTTATGTATGTAGGATAGTTGTAAATAAAGTTATTAGATTTATTTTAATGTTTCTTTATACAGCAATTTTTAAATAATTCACATTATATCGATATAAATGAAAATTAATTTCTGTTCGTTAGTCTCGCTAAAACTCGAGAACGGCTGAACTGATTTCACTAATTTTCATCTTGATGTTCATGGAAGTCCAAGGAAGGTTTAAAAGGTGAGAAAAAAAATGAAGCTTGCTGGGTCACCTAGTAATAGTATAATATTGTAATGTAGTCATAACAAAAAAATCTTTTAAGATAAGACTAATTGTAAGTCAAGTCTAATAAGTAATTGTTTGGGTTAGATATCAAATCTAAATCTAGCAGAGTTGAACTTGAAATTATTGCCAGTGAAGTCTTCTACAGTTTTTTTTAATATAGCTCTACACATGGAGCAACATATTCCTTTTTAAAGGACGGCAACGCACCTGCCTCTCCTTTCGTGTTGCGGTGCGGGTGTCCATGGGCGGCGCTGATCGCTTACCATCAGGTGATCCGTCTGGTCCTATTCCATAAAAAATACAATAATTACACACATACCTACAATTTCACATACACATGAACACCCATGAACTGGCATATGGCAATAGGCTTAGTCCCTGTTGCACAAGACTCAACAATACTGGCGAAGTTTTTTTGGATGTCACATTGTATATTTGCACTCCTTACTTAGATGCTCCTATAGGGCTATTATGTGAATTAAAAGGAGTACTATATTATACAGCCAGCCAATCATATTATAAGGTGCTTGCACTCCGTGTCGTCTATGATGCTGTATCAACATGCACACAGCGGTGAATGGAACCGATAGAGAACATTTAATCTGGACGCAACGTTACATGACACTCAGCATAAATTATTGATGTAAGCAGGGTTTTAATTCTAATTTCATATTTATTTAGGAATTAAAATCTGTACTTAATGGTAAGATTAATTAAAGATAGGTACCTACACCAAACGCCATCTATTGTGTAGTATAAGTACTAGAGTCATAATTCGTTGGTTAAAGCCTCGGAACAATACTTTAGTTATTGTTCCGACGTTAAAGCAGTCCTATAAGTTTCGGTTCCTACCATTATTCATAGATGGAGCTTCCTAGCTCCTCCTTAAGGTCCTCCATATAACGATAAAAATGAATACAATAAGTTTTTTCTATTCCATGGTAAAATCATATTGTGTGAAATGTCTTAGTTTCGTGATCTGTCTGCTTGTTTATCACCTTATATTTATCCTTATAATTATATTTTGAAAGTTTATGGTAACTGTCTAAAACCGATCCGAACTTTCCTTGATTCAAAACAAAGGTACTTTGCCCACCCTGAGAATTAAACACGGAGCTCTTTGGCAACCATGTAAGTATATGACTCCTCGACCAAGTTGGCAGTTTACCTTAAACTGTTGTTACCTAACTGTGTAGAATCTATTTTGAATATTACATCAAGTAGGTAGTTAAAGGGTTAGAACACCCGGCTGTACGAGCTATGTAAATCCAATATAAACTGACCGTTGAATGTACGGAAAGATCATACAATGCGAGACCATCATAAATTGGTTTGTGTAGGTTCTTGAGTAGCTGGTACACGATAGTTTCATCGCAAGGATGCGACGGCGCGGTAATTAAAATCTTAACTGGTTAACTCGAACGCAGGACCAGACTTGGTATTTTAGGCTATGCATTTTACATCTACATAATATAAAAATAAATCTCTTTTTCCCTTGGCCACGGCATCACGCGTGAATGGTTGGACCGATTTCACTAATTCTTTTTTTGTTGTAGGTATTTATTATTAGGAAAAGGTCCTGGAAATCCTGAAACGGGATTGCGCATATGAAGTCGCGGGCAGAAGCTAGTAGGTACAATATAAAGCAATTGTCAAATAGTTACTCACAATTATAATTAAGTATTATTCACTGTATGATCTAATAGGGATGATAACAGAACTTGAAAATTAAAAATTTAATTAGTTTGTCAGTTAGATAATTAAAAAATATTAGTCACGTATTTTTTTATTTTGTCGTATAAGAAAACAATACTTAGATAAAACTAATCAAAGTTTAGGTGTGGGAGGTAAAACGTCATTTCTATCTACAAAATGTCCCTAGAAGTGACGTCACGCGATATTTCAAATCTATATATGAAAGAAAAGAAAGAAAGAAAGAAAATTTTTTATTTGCACACTGATACAAGGAAATAAAATAAGAAACAATACAAAGAAAAAAGACGGCGCAAAAAGGCAAGAGCTCAGCTTAAATGCCGTGACACGAGTGTGCTCGAGTCACTTTGATTTCAAAGGGTTCAAAACCAAGGAGTTACTCTCAGACCATGTCACCACTCGTTCCAGATCCTCGTTAACCCTCCGCACCGCCACGGCAGTATCATCCCCTCTGAAGGTTGCATACAGCTGGATGTCATCCGCGTACATATGGTACTTACAATTAAGAAAGGATCCGGCAATGTCAGCACTGTAGAGAATGTACAGTAACGGCCCAAGTATCGATCCCTGTGGGACTCCTCTGGACACCTGTAGCGGAGCCGATGACACAGTAGATCCATCATCCCTACGAATCTGCACACACTGTGTTCTATCAGTCAGATAACTTCTGAACCATTCTACGGCACCCCTGTCAAAGCCATAGTATGCCAACTTGGATAGAAGCAGATTGGTGTTAATAGCGTCAAAAGCTCGCGAAAAATCCAATAGAACCAGAATAGCGCCCTCACCTCGATCGCGCGCCTCTAGAATGTTTCCCACTACATCCAAGAGTGCGGTTGCAGTGCCTCGTCCCCCACGGAACCCGACTGAAGGTCAGGGAGAATTTTGTTACACTCAAGATAATCAATCACCTGCAAGTACACCACTCGCTCCAGAATCTTAGACAGGCAGGGCAGAATGCTGATCGGTCTAAGGTCCCTCACAGTGACCGGATCGCTAACTTTTGGTATAGGGCGCACTATAGCACGTCGCCAGAGTCCGGGGAATGTGCGCGACTCTATAGATCTATTAATGATATCAGTTACTGTTTGTAATGTGTTCGTCAATGTGAGCTTTATCATATCCAGACTGATACCATCAACTCCCTGCGCGTTCGACCTCAGACTTCTGATTATGGTCAGAACTGTCTCCTGGTTAGTTGTTCTTAGCGAGAATTCAGCTGAGCCATGTTTATGGGTACCGAAGTAAGCCATTTGTGTAAAGTTGTCATTGCCATTTCCCGGGACATCCAAAAAAGCTCTGTTGATGGTATCCGGATTATCGAAGTGAGTGGGGAGTGACCTATCTTTATGATCATATATCGTCGAAAGTATTTGTTTCCGTGAGAAAATGTAAAATAAGTACGTGTCTAATATTTTATAATAATCTATCAGACGGAGCTTAAAATAAAAATTGGTTATCTACCCTTTTACGAATAGCTATATCGTATCGTAAAATACCTATGATGTGCCTACTTTATGCTTTCCTCAACAATTTGTCTCTTTTTTTTAAACTGTCAAACACCAAGCGGTCACCGGTGACCGCGACCTATTGTTCTTTAATTGTGCCATAAAACCGGTACTCGACGAGTTAAATTACTTAACTTAGGTACAGGTAGGTTAATAGAACATGGCGAAATGGTAATCGGTTAGTATAAGTTTACCAGTCTTAAGGCCGATTTTTACAACGTCAGATAAATTTCAAATGACAATAATTCTTAAAAACTGTCAAATGTCAATTTTATTCAATATTATTATAATTTTATTCTACAATTAAGAATTAACCGATATGATTGAATAATTTAGTCTAACTGAAGTTAGGTAACTTACGTTCACGCCCTTACTGTAACAGTAAAAATGCTTAATTTAAGTATACTTCCCCCAAAGTCCCGAGCCCGTCTCTGGATCCCATTGCAATCTTGGCGGCCATAATGGGGATGATGACAGGGTATGAAAATTAAAAATATAATTAGTCCGTAAGTTAGGTAATGAAAAAATATTAGACACGTATTTTTTTATTTTGTCGTATAATAAAACAATACTTAGATAAAACGAATCAAAGTTTAGGAGTGGGGGCTAAAACGTCATTTCTTAGTATAAAATGTACTGAGAAGTGACGTCACGCGACATTTCAAATCAATATATCTTCGAAACTATTCGTTTCTGTGAGAAAAGAAAAAATACGTGTCTAATGTTTTTAAATAATCTACCAGACGGACATTAAAATAAAAATTAGTCGTCTACCCTATTAAAAAGTGTAAAAGTGAAATACATTGTTTGCGGAACGCTGCACTTTATCAACTTTAGATTAAATGTCAGAATGTCACCCCTTTATTCATTACTTAATTATGTATATAGGCATCTAGTGTGTGATGTTCACACGACATTGCGTAAGTAATTTCATAATGTGCATAAAAACGCGTGCGTACGCATAAACACACGCACGCGTACGCACACGAATAAAAATATGCGTGTGCACGTGTGTATAAGCGCTGCAGCGCAACCGATAGTAGTCTTACGGTGGCAGTGGACTTTTGTCCTTTGACCGTAAGTAATAACATTCATTTAAATTTTAATAATGAAAATATATGATTACCTAGTCATCTATTAAAATTAAATAATTGTATAAATCTATTAGTTATTAGTTTATTACATACATACCTAATTATAATAGGGGAGATGCCTAATTTTTATTTCAATGTCCTGATTGTAAATCATTAGACACGTATGTTTTATTTTCTTACAGAAACGAATACTTTCGACGGTATATTGATTTGAAATGTCGCGTGACGTCACTTCTATTGACGTAGAAATGACGTTTTAGCTCCCACTCCTAAACTTTGATTTAAGTACTGTTTTATTATACAACAAAATAAAAAAATACGTGTCTAATGTTTTTTCATTACCTAACTTACGGAGTACCTAAACAGATTTTTAATTTTCATACCCCGTCATCATTCCTATATTATGTATGGAGGCGGAAAATAAGTTTACCGATGTTTAACGTTTTTTTTGCTTACCACATGTCACAATTAATGTAGGATGGCAATTTTTGTCCAATCACAGCAACTGTCAAATATTCAACATCCAATGGTGTGACGGTAGCTAATTTCCTATTGGACGAAGAACGAGTTCCTCGTCAAATAATTACGTGAGTACCTAAGCCGAAAAACATGATTAATTTAGTACCTAGTACTTAAGATATGAGGGTGAATTTAAAGCGAACTTGTCACTTTGTTTCAAATCTACCCTCTCATTTTGATAACGATGCTAAGATTAAAAATATAAAAGGTCATAAGCACCACTAATATTGCTATGCAAAAGTGTTTTGACATTGGATATGCACTTCTGGTTGTTACTGTATATCTTTTTCGAGACGTTTACACCCTGTATTATATTATACATAGTTTAAAAAGAAGTTGCCTTTGACTGCTGACATAGGTCACCGGTGACCTGCGCGGCGATTAACGTGTTAAATCGATTCTTAGGATATCCATGAGAAGAGAAAAGGTGGCGTCAGGTGACTTTACTCTACTCTGTCGCCCCACTGCAACTACTGCAAGGTATGTACGTACATCAAAGGTTAAAATTTCTGTCTAGGTGTCTAGCGTGTGCTATGACTATGACCTTCAAGCTCTACGGCCTACAAACCATAGTAATTGCCTAAGGGTGATTTATCCTTAGTTCTGACAGTCTGACATTTAAACCTATGAGATCGTCTTAACACGCCTTTGTATCTGTTACGTATGGCTGTTGTTTGTATCAAGAACTAATAACATTTAATTAAATTGTTTTTTGTAGTACGTTTACAAGCAATAACTTTAACGCACGATTTATAACAGAAACAACCCTATAAGCACAGTAAACATACTGTGCCATAAGTCTACAACGGGCACAATTCCAAACTAGTAAATTTTATTAAGAATTAAAAAGAAACCGAAATATTCCGAAAACCGATTATTATAAGTACTTCGCTCGTCCGTATCTCTTGCTCGGCATTTATGCTTGCGGTCACTATACTAAAACAAGGAAGTCAGTAATAATAAAAAACAATTTTCGTAACAATTTTATCAATCTATAGAAGAATCATTTTGATTTTCATTAAAATTTTAACGAAAACAAAGAAAGTACGCATTTGTAATTAAAATGAGAAAAGTAGACAATTAAAATTCAAAACGCAATCATTGAGTACTCCAATCAACGTCGGCGCGGAGCCAACGATTCGCTATTCAAAATTTGAAATTCGAATGGAACGTTGAATAAAAATTTATTTGTTTGTTGCCAGTAAAGCTTCGGATTTTATTAATTTTTTTTTACTAAAATCTCTTTGGTCGAGCTGTTGACAATGCATCAAAGAAAGTTTTTGCTCCCACCAGGTGGCGCTAAAGTATCGTAACGTCTTTTTTTAAGGGGGGAAAATCGTCGAATAACTTCTCCCGCCTGGGTGAGGCGGGAGGGAGTGTCAGACAAGTATGTATCGTCTAGGTCTAGATTTATACTGGGAAATTATTTATTGGACAACGTTAGCCACAAATATATAATTTTTGTGGTAAGACCCGATGATTTTCCCCGCTTAAAAAAAGCATCTGAAAATGAAAGTATGTAAGTACACGTACACACGGCTAAATATCGAGCTTTACATAACCAGTAAAAACTGAACGTTAAATGTACGGAAAGATGATGCGACGCGACACCAGGATAAACTGGTTTTGTATAGATCGATGTGTGGCCGTGTGTACATACCTATGTGAATAGTATTAAGTCGTCACGATCAGAGAACCTATCTAGCAAATGCCTTGGGAAATTATAAGATTGTGGGACGATATGACATGAAAGAAATCCCGTGAGTCAAGATCATATCTCCTCATAATAAGAATTTACCAAATTCTAGTAAATACAGGTTCTAGTAAATTGATTTCGAATGTAAAATATCATTTTTTTATAATCGATGGGCCGACGTTTGACCACTATCTCGCCTGGTGGTAAGTGATGATACGGTCTACGATAGAGCGCGTCGACCATCAATTTTGACTAAAAGTATTCTGTATTTTCCTTCAGTAAGCTGGGTGCATTCTAAAACTTTTAGAGGGTAATTAACAAATGTTTAATTAACTGAGCGTAAATACCCTCCCAATGGTTACAGAAATAACGATTATATTAAAAAATAACAAAAGACTGCCTCTTTGGCCGAGCGGTCGCAAGTGCGACTGCCGGTCAAGAGGCCTCGAGTTCGATTTCTGGGTTGGGCGAAGTACTACTGGGTTTTTATAAATTTTCAGTAGTAGCACGGAGTCTGGAATTGTGCCCGGTATATGGCAATAGGCTCACCCCCTATTACATGGGACTCATAACATAAATAGTGAAAAGTGGGTTTTAAGTCACATTGTATAGTCGCATAATGTACACCTCTGCCTACCCCTTCGGCGATATAGACGTGATGTTATGTTATGTTATGTTTAAAAAATAACAATATCTTCTGTCTACTTTCTTTTCCTTTAATAATATCTTCTGATTTATTTCAAGAAAGAAGAAAAAGAAGAGGAAGAAAATGAAAGAAAAAATGTTATTTAAAAAGACAGTTGACTGTACGGTTGGTGCCGTCGTGTCGTGGGTTCCATTCCCGCACGGAACAACTCTTTGTGTGATCCACAGATTGTTGTTCCGGGTCTGTGTGTCATGTGTATGTGAAATTGTATGTTTGTAAACGCACCCACGACACAGGATAAAACACTAGTGTAGGCCACGTACTGGAAAGCGCAGCGTAGGACGTCCATCCGCAAGGTGGACAGACGATCTCATTAAGGTCGCAGGGAACCGCTGGATGCAGGTCGCTACCAACCGGCCTATCTGGAAGTCATTGGGGGAGGCCTATGTTCAGCAGTGGACGTCCTGTGGCTGATATGATGATGATGATGATGATGATGTGGGGCAACGTTAAAAAAAAGAGTTATTCATGTCGCTGGGACAATTTTACTTGACGCCGGACTTTAGTGCTCGTGTGTCTTCATATTGTATCTACTGTAGATCCTGGTGCATTGGTGTTGCAGCAGTTTTGGGAGGTTGTGGCGGGCTTATCAGAAAAACTGTCTGTTACTCTCTGTACTACGACGTGCAGGAGTAGGAACGGGGTGGTTTTTAGTCAGTAAGAGTCTGACACTCCCTCCCGCCTCACCCAGGCGGGAGCATTCGATGATTTTCCCCCCTTAAAAAAAAACTCTATGTACTAAGGGCTTAGTACGAGTTTATATTACGTTCAATGAAATCGAAACGTTACTGTTCGGCGCTCTGATTGGCCTGCCCCAATGAACCAATCAGAGGGCTAGCCGCGGTTATGTTTCTATTATTCTAAACTTAAAATAAACTTGTTCTACGTCTTTGGTACTGAATCAAAAGTATTTTTTTTTTTTCATATACCTTATGACTGTACAGCTGTACCTACAAGTTCTGTATGTTTATTATTTGTGCCCATATTTAAGTGAATTGTGTCATGTTACAAGAGGTAAAGAAATAAGAAGCGCATTTGAGTCGTACGAAATTTATTAAAATTATAACAATATAGGTACCTTATTGTTAAAATTAAATGTTACAAAATTATTATCTCTAACAACTTATACTAATATGTAGGTAGTAAAAAATAGACGAATTATACGAACATACAATCTAATATTAAAAATTACAATACTTATCACACAGTAAAGATAGGACTATAGAGCATCTCATTTCTATATCAAAATAAAAAAATCAATATTTTCACATATTCCTCACAATGTTTTTCCAATTGGTATTTCGTACAAAAAGAGCAAAGTCATTGCAAATCAATGGAGCATTAAGAATGTTTGTACAAAAAAAAATTTTTAGACATTTCGAATCAAAATATAGTTCTTTCTTTTATACTTGGTAGGTCGACGTTGGACCCCATCTCGCCTGGTGGTAAGCGATAATGTAGCCAACGATGGAGCACGCCTACCTATGAGCAACCTGTTTACTCGGGACTTGAACACCCTCAAGATATATTTGTCGGGAAACGCAGTATACTTTCAGTCATTAACATCCATCATTTCATGTACTTCTAATGAATGAAAGTTGACGTATTAATGAATTTTACTAGCTAAAATATGTTGGTCCACTATGTACTTAATGCCGTTCTTACTGCCGATGTTGGAGCCAATCTTTTTACCAGCATTTACTATGCCCAAATTGGTGTATTTTGTGACGTAGGATTTTATGTAGAAATCTCCAAAGAGGTACATGAAGAGGACAGTGTTGAAGCATACGGAGGCTAGGAGGAAATAGGCGGGACGGCACTCCGAAATCATGTGGCCGACTACGATGTGGAGGAACATGAGAGAAAACTGCACCTGAAACATGGAACATTGGGTAAATAATAGCTTGAAGCCAGACTTTGGTCTATTAGAATAATAAGGGTTAGTTAAAATTATTAAGAGTCTGAGAGAAAGAGACAATTCTGCACGAAAAATTTAAATAAAAACTGCATAGGTTTAAACTACAAAAGTCCTGTTGTTAGTGCGTTCTAAATCTCCTAGATGTTTCGAAGAGGAATGCTCATCATCATCATCATCACCATATTAGGCCATAAAACGCCTGCTTAACATAGGCTTCCCCTAAAGACTTCCAGGTGGATAGAAGAATAATGTTAATAAGAATGCTCAATAATTCTTCCATAAACTACGTTTAACAAATCTACTTTAACCCCTTCTTTTTTGGAATTCGGTAAATTAATATATACTAAAACCTTCTCCTAAGTGTAACAAACACTTTTCTGAATACCGCATCAATATCGGTTCAGCCAGTCGCGAGATAGTCGCGCACAAACACACATACATACTGAGACCCTCCACCTTTATTTGAAGTCTGTTACAAATTCTAGAAAAGAACACTTACCAACTGCATCTGTGTGATATACTTCTTCCACCATAAGAATCTGTGGAGCTCCGGGAAGACCGAAAGACCATAGTAGGCATACATGATCACATGAACTAGTGAGTTTATCATTCCTAGGAACACTGTGTTGTCAGTTCTGGAGTACTTGACGATGACGATGGCCCAGGTAGCCATCACCATTATAGAATGATGGTAGACGTGGAGGAAGGTCACCTGCCTCTGTCGTTTGCGAAGAACGAAGCAGATTGTGTCTGTTAGTTCTACCACCTTCGTCAGGAAGTAGTAGTGACTGCCGTCCAGAAGCTGAAAGGTGAGAGAAAGGTTTTTACTTCTTGCATAATATTTATTATAGTGTTATAACCATTGTGGACATGGACCTATAAAAATAACACATATAACATAAGATCATCCCGAAGGGGTAGACAGCTTTCCTCAACAATTTGTCTCTTTTTTTTTAAACTGTCAAACACCAAGCGGTCACCGGTGACCGCGACCTATTGTTCTTTAATTGTGTCTATAAAACCGGTACTCGACGAGTTAAATTACTTAACTTAGGTACAGGTAGGTTAATAGAACATGGCGAAATGGTAATCGGTTAGTATAAGTTTACCAGTCTTAAGGCCGATTTTTTTAACGCCAGATAAATTTTAAATGACAATTCTTAAAAACTGTCAAATGTCAATTTTATTCAATATTATTATAATTTTATTCTACAATTAAGAATTAACCGATATGATTGAATAATTTAGTCTAACTGAAGTTACCTGTGGGTAACTTACGTTCACGCCCTTACTGTAACAGTAAAAATGCTTAATTTAAGTATACTTCCCGCGAAGTCCCGAGTCCGTCTCTGGATCCCATTGCAATCTTGGCGGCCATAATTAAAAAGTGTAAAAGTGAAATACATTGTTTGCGGAACGCTGCACTTTATCAACTTTAGATTAAGTAAATGTCAGAATGTCACCTCTTTATTCATTACTTAATTATGTATATAGGCATCTAGTGTGTGATGTTCACTCGGCATTGCGTAAGTAATTTCATATTAATGTGCATAAAAACGCGTGAATATGCATAAACACACGCGCGCGTACGCACACGGATAAAAATATGCGTGTGCATGTGTGTATAAGCATTGCAGCGCAAACGATAGTAGTCTTACGGTGGCAGTGGACTTTTGACCTTCGTCCGTAAGTAATAGCATTCATTTAAATTTTACATAACATAACATAACATAACATCACGCCTTTTATCCTCAAAGGGGTAGGCAGAGGTGCACATTATACCACTGTACAATGTCATTTAAATTTTAATAATTAAAATATATGATTACCTAGTCATCTATTAAAATTAAATAATTGTATAAATCTATTAGTTATTAGTCTATTACATACATACCTAATTATAATAGTGGAGATGCCTAATTTTTATTTTAATAGATTATTTTAAATCATTAGGCACGTATTTTTTATTTTCTTACAGAAACTAATACTTTCGATGATATATTGATTTGAAATGTCGCGTGACGTCACTCACTTCTATGTACATTTTATACGTAGAAATGACGTTTTAGCCTCAACTCAATACAACAAAATAAAAAAATACGTGTCTAATGTTTTTTCATTACCTAACTTACGGAGTAAACAGATTTTTAATTTTCATACCCCGTCATCATTCCTATATTATGTATGGAGGCGGAAAATAAGTTTACCGATGTTTAACGTTTTTTTGCTTACCACATGGCAAAATTAATGTAGGATGGCAATTTTTGTCCAATCACAGCAACTGTCAAATATTCAACATCCAATGGTGTGACGGTAGCTAATTTCCTATTGGACGAAGAACGAGTTCCTCGTCAAATAATTACGTGAGTACCTACGCCGAAAAATATGATTAATTTAGTACCTAGGTATGTCTCTTTCGTTCAAGTGAAACAAGTGAATTTATTTCTGCAAATAGGCTACAAGGCAGCACATTTACACGTCAATTTTATCAAGCGAACGATGAGGTCGACATTTCCTAACTGATTACTCTGAGAAGAAATGCCGAAACAAATTCAGAGGTCTGTCTATTTTAAAGTCCAGACAATATGTACAACAGATTATGTGTGAGAACCGTGCCAGTTCTTTCTGTAGTGGCCTTTTGAGGAAAGAACCACAACAGAACAGTAGAAGAGAAAAGGTGGCGTCAGGTGACTTTACTCTGCTCTGTTGCTCCACTGCAAGGTATGTACGTACATCAAAGGTTAAAATTTCTGTCTAGGTGTCTAGCGTGGGCTATGACTATGACCTTCAAGCTCTACGGCCTACAAACCATAGTTGCCTAAGGGTGATTTATCCTTAGTTCTGACAGTCTGACATTTAAACCTGTGAGATCGTCTTAACACGCTTTTGTATCTGTTACGTATGGCTGTTGTTTGTATCAAGAACTAATAACATTTAATTAAATTGTTTTTTTGTAGTAGATACGTTTACAAGCAATAATTTTAACGCACGATTTATAACAGAAACAGCCATATAAGCACAGTAAACATACTGTGCTATAAGTCTACAACGGGCACAATTCCAAACTAGTAAATTTTATCGAGAATTAAAAAGAAACCGAAATATTCCGAAAACCGATTATTATAAGTACCTACTTCGCTCGTCCGTATCTCTTGCTCGGCATTTATGCTTGCGGTCACTTTACTAAAACAAGGAAATCAGTAATAATAAAAAACAATTTTCGTAACAATTTTATCAATCTATAGAAGAATCATTTTGATTTTCATTAAAATTTTAACGAAAACAAAGAAAGTACGCATTTGTAATTAAAATGAGAAAAGTAGACAATTAAAATTCAAAACGCAATCATTGAGTACTCCAATCAACGTCGGCGCGGAGCCAACGATTCGCTATTCAAAATTTGAAATTCGAATGGAACTGTTACGAGAGTCCTTTAGGATTTCTTTTTAAAAAAAACTAATTTTATATTAAAACTATTTTAATTAATTAAAGGACTGAGTATACAACCGTACCGTTCGGAGATCTTGTTCAGACTGAGGGGTCTGGCATGCCACCTTACACGTTAAGATATAATAATGATGATGATGCATTTCTTATGTCATCCCAGCATAAACCCTTACATATCAGGGATATAACACCTCCCCCTTTAAGAAGAGGCTTTGGGGTTGGTTCAAAGTCTCTGTTATATTATTACCCTAAGTGGAGCAATATTACTTGTATTAGGTGTACTATCTTCGAAACCTGTTTGTCTATCTGTCATTTCTATTGAAGGTTCAGGCTGAGATGATGTTATACAAATATTTGCTCTATTCCTACGGGAACGGTTATATCGTTGACAAATTTTCTTATAAACTAGGTAATTAAGAAATATAAGTATAAAGATTACAATTGCCAGTGTTACAATAGAATAGTGTTTACCATATGTTACAATATGAGGGGTTGTTGGATTTGTTACAAATTCAAGGTCATTTAAAATAGACTTTATCTTATCATTATAATTGGTATGTAAATCATCTAGGTCTATGTTATTTAGTTTTACAGGGAGTATATTACTGGCATTTTCATATACTGTTTTTATGGAACAACAAGAGTCTTCAATTAAGTTAAAATCTGGAAAATGTCTGATTGGTGAAGTTATATTAAAATTGTTTTGTTTAGGTATAAGTGTGGTAGCTTTACAGTGGACAATGCAATTTTTGGGGATACTTAATATCCCTGTACCTGAAATGGTGGTTTCTTTTAATTTGTTATTTAAACAGTCTATCGATATTTTGTTAGGTTTTGACTGTACAAAGATCCATTTATTATTGATCAGGGATTTCCAGATATTTACCTTTCCAATGAGGATCTTCGTATGACATTGAGCAGGTTTCACGCTAATTACCTTGGTAAGGAGTTCACTTTCACATGTAGGTTTTGCATCAGTAGAATACACATTTTCAATATCACAGATATAATTTCCAGAAGTCACTATTTTACAAATTTCCAAACTATTGAAAACACAATAGTAGGATTTGTCTTTGGTCATTGCTATGTATTTGTTATCAGGGAGAATTAAACTGAAAGTGTTTGGGTTTGAAGTATTGTGTGGTGTTGGTAATGCAATATTATGAAATAGCAATATTCTTGAGTTTTTACCATTGCACTTGCAATATAAAACTACCTTATTACTAGTATAGAAACAAACTAACTTAGAAATACTTAAAATAACATGTATGGACTTAATATCTAAAGATACAGGCAACTCAAGGTCACTGGGTAAATGTCTATAGTTATCTACTAGTTCCTTGTGGAGTTGTGTAGGGGTTACTATTGCAGGGTGTAAAATATTTTGGGTGCTAAATAGGATAGCGTTAGTGATATCTTCTAGTTGAAAAGATAGAGTAAGTATCGATGTCTCGAGGGCATTGATAACTTCATTGACATTTGTTTGTATTTGTAAACCATTTGTGGTT